CCCATCTGGATTGTTGTTTGCATTTTTCCATATGGAATGGAAATCCCTATCCTTCCCTAATGCAGAAATTTTCTGGAGTTTCTAAGTCTGGTTAATAGAACGTCATCCTGCAATTAAAAGTCTGTTAATCTAAAATAAAACCTTCAAGTTTAAGCTTCATACACTCTGGTGCCCAACAGTTTATAATGGTTTATACTGCAATCGAAATATTTTTGAAAAATTTCAATACAAGCTGTTTTTTTTCCAAGAGATATAATTTGAATTCTTCTTAAATTTACTTTGAATTTTTTTAACCCAGACATAGTGTGAAATATAATCAAAGAGTCCTATAAAAATAGAAGCAGGCAAAGATGATTTGCTAATAAAAAAGTAAAAAAAAACCCCTCTGCTGGCAACAATACAGACAACAGAGTTTTCTGAAGGTGGTATTCACCCTGCTTTCATGTCCTCGGGGTTGAGCTGACTAGAAAAGCCACAATAAGAAAAAAAAGGAGGGGGCGGAGAAGCAGTGACAAAAAAACCCCAGATGTTGCATAAACATGACTTACCTCAAGTTCAGTGTTTAAATATTTATCTTTCCAATAATCCCCAAGCAAAGTTCATTTAACCACTCTAGTTCCATGTAATTTATTTGTGGAATATGCATCAGCCTAAATCTAATTTTGCTCTGCTTACTTTGGAGAAAGGAAATTAAAAGTGAAATAATGAAGGTGGCCTTTTATTCTTTTTTTTTTTTTTTTTTTTTTTTTTTTTTTTTTTTTTTTTTTTTTCCTTCTTTCCCAGAAACAGGCAGGAAGAGCCCTAAATCAATAAACAAGCAGCAGATGTACTTTCTCTGGTCTGTTTGGTTTGCAGAAAACACAATTTCCAGATAAAGTGGGGGCTTAGCCAGGCAGGAGCTCCGTCACCAGCCCAGCCTTGGCCTCTCAGCACAAAACCTCACACTCCACCAGCTGCTGGCCTCAACAAACACAGACACAATTTTGGGGGTGTGGAGCCACAGTTTCCACTTGGCAGCTAAAAGTGGGTGTAAAACCCTCTCTGCAAGGAGGAAGGTTTAATACCCCCAAGGCAAGGGGGGAGCTGAGGTGATTTGTGTTATCTTTTTAGATAGGGTAGTGGAGAAACAAAAAACTCAAGGGGATGAAAAGAGTAGAGCTTTAATTTATTAGTGGGAAAGGAAAATGGGCCTTGTTTGTGATTCCTTGACCCAAAATTGAAGGTTAAAGCAGCTTGTGAATAAGTGCAATACACGTCCCAGGGCCACCTGAATTCCCAGGGACATCAGTGGGAATTGGAGCAGGACTGGAAGTTCTGAGCTCCCTTTGACTGCCACCACCTCCTGGAGAGGCTGGAGCTGCACAGAGCAGCCCCACGTGCCCCCTGAAATCAGCCAAAGCTGGGGATGGTCCTGGGTTATGGAATGACTCCAGCAGGAGAACCACCTAAAACGCCTTTGTCCCCACAACTGGTTTGTCTATTAAACACTCACAGCCATCTAAATCAACACAAAGTGATCTGATGGCAGAAAATCTGCTGTTTTCAAACCTGCACAGCATGGGAACAGAAACTGTCATTAAGAAGGAGAACACAAAGTGTAATTCAGTGAATCAACGAGAGCAGCTCCCACAGATCCCTGGAAGAAACCCTGAAGACAAAAAACTCTGCAGAAACAAATGTGATTTTGATTCTGGTGTGTCAGTGTTTAATTCATCCTTCCACCAACTGTTTGGACAACTGCTGCCTCAAAAGTCAAGTAACACTTTGCCACCTTATAAAACAATTACCCAAATTGCTGTGACTATAAACTGTAAGGATTTTTTACTGTAGTATTTCAGAGGTGACTCCTATAAATACGCTCCTGTTTGAAGCAGGCTGGAGCTCATATGGAGGATGTGGAATTTAAAATCCATGAAAGCTTGTCTATTTTGTGAAATGCTACTCTAACTCTGAATTTTCAAAGTGATTACACAGGTTTGGTACAGGATGTGTAGTGTGACTTCATCAGGTAAAATGAAAGTAGATTTCAGAGGTAATTGAAATTCCAAATGAGGACCAGGGAGGAAAGAAGCGAGTCAAAGCATCGAGTAGGCAACAGATAAATTATTGGTGTGGAAAATCCTGCTCGTTACCATTCTCATATAAGATTCATTTGCCACAATGAAGAGAATATCAGATTGATATGGATAAAAAGTTGTACTCTGTGCACTGCCAGAAGCTAAGAAGCTAGAGCACAGTGCAGGCAGCCCAAGCAGAAATCTCTGAGCAGACTCAAACTGCCTGACAGCTGGAAGGGACAATGAGGTGGCTGTGGCACATCCCATGACAATGAAAGTCCCTTGGGAAAGGCTGTGAGGACAATCCCTGTGCAGCAGAGTTCAGTGCTCCTTGACTCAGCTCCCAGCCTGAGTGTGAACTCGAAGCCAGCAGAGAAATGGGATGGACAGACTGACTGTGCACTGCTGCCTCCTTGGAAAAGTGTGCTGTGGATGGCAGACAGCAGTGGCAGGGGAAAATCCCAGCATAGCCAGGCACAGGGGGTTATCCTGCAGCTCTGGGTTATCCTGGAATCCTGGGTTTTCCTGGAATCCTGGGGTTCCCTCAGCCCTGGGTTATCCCCAGCTCTGGGTTATCTGCAGCTCTGGGTTATCCTGAAATCCTGGGTTATCCTGCAGCCCTGGGTTATCCTGAAATCCTGGGCTTTCCTGAAATCCTGGGTTTTCCTCAGCCCTGGGTTATCCCCAGCTCTGGGTTATGCCCAGTCCTGGGTTTTCCTGAAATCCTGAGTTTTCCTTGGTTCTGGGTTATTCCCAGCCCTGGTTCATTCCCAGCTCTGGGTTTTCCTGCAGCCTTGGGTTATCCCCAGTTCTGGGGTATCCCCAGTTCTGGGTTTTCCTGCAGCCAAAGGCTGAGGGTGAGAGGAGAGGATGGGCAGGTGGTGAAGGGCAGGAGAATGGAGCAGAGCTGCCCCTCTCTCCCCACCCCAGCTCTCAGGGTGATGTCCCTCATTCATTCATCACCTGTCACCTCCAGAGGTCACAATACCCCAGAGTCTGGGGTTCAGGGGAATCCTCCAGCAGCAGGAGCCCAGTGGATTTAGTGCATGACTAATTACAATCAGTGATGGCAATTAATGCCCATTGGTGGATACCAATCATTGGAAAAGACAACAAGGCTCGTGACAAATCTGAGATTTAGCTTTAGCATTTTTGCATTCTACACATTCAGTTGAAAGTATTTAATTCTCTTCTGTATCTAGAAAATAGTGGACAACGAATTCGTAACTTGTCATAAAATAATTTTTAAATTTTGTTCTGAGCATAATGTCCTTCCACTGATTGTATAATTAATTTGATTTATACTAGATAGAAAAGTCTTTAGGACACCCAGAACACAGCTGGATGTGCTGTTCTGGAGAATCCTGGACAAAATGTGCCTTAGGGACTGGTAGAGAGGAGTGTTAGCCCAACATATTCCTTTATGGTTTGAATTTTGTGAACTGAATTTGATATTGAAGTTGACCAAGTTGGTCTGTTTAGATCACCTCTAACAGCAGCCCTGGGATGTGCTGTGGGAACAAATCAATGGCTCCCAATGAATTCCTTCATGCTCCCCAGTCCTACTGCCCTAAGTGAGGCTTGGCAATCGATAATCCCAGAGGTGCTGACCCTGCCACACCTGCCTGGGCTTTCTGCCTTCCCTCTGCAAGCTTCCAGCCTTCTCCAGCTCTTCCCTCACGTGAAAGAAGTCTGTTTCTTCTAGGTAACAACAGGGATGTTGACAGGTCTAAAGAATTTTCAGGTGTTAGTCCTGAGCTTGGATCCATCCTTTTGGTTTGAAGCCAAAACTTTAGACTGGAAAAGTAAAAAATCCCAGTGTGGCCGTGTGAGATCAGGACATTTTGTACAGGATTCCTGGCTCAGTGTTCGGTGTGGATCTAAAGGCTGAAAACTAGACCAATAATTCCAATAATTCCAATAATTCTGAATATTTGTGGGTCTTTTTTCCTAACAGACAGAGTGTATCTTGAGGGGGATGGGAATTAGAAAGAAAAAGGATCGGAGCACTAATATTTGTGTAACTGTTCAGAAATGAAATAAATCTGCTGCTGTAAAACATGTACACTTCTCTCTAAAGGTAACAAGCTACGTTGGGCACACCTAAACCTCAGCCTCAACAAAATGCATTTTCATGAGCCTGGATTGGAATGGTTCAGGTCATGTTAATGAATTTTCAATTCCTAGGCTTGATTTGGGTTGTGACAAAACACAGAATTGTTTAAGCAGCCCTGTCCTGCATGTCAATCCAGAGATGTTCTTTATTACTCTCTAATCAAACCTCGGCTTGCTTCCTCATGGAACATTTTTCTTTACAAAAAGAGGGTGTCCACAGTGTTACACACATCCAGATTGCCACAGCAACCAAAGCTCCGAAGGTGAAAAGGATTTCTGAACTGTGAATTTATGTCTGTATTCCATTTCCAACGTCAGCCAGGAAATACAGGCACAGATCTGTGCTGAGCGGGATTTGCATTAATAAGGAATGCAGGGAAAGAGCTGCGCCTCCAAAACACACCGCTGGGATATTTTTTCCCCGCTATTCTAAATTAAATCTGCGATGAAATAATTTTGTTTCAAATGCCTTTTATCGCGGCTTTTATTTGTAATTCATTATCCGCTGTAACCAGCGATTGTTGGAGGCTCACAAGCAGAGCATTGAGAGGTTTCCTTTCCATGAATGAAGTTCTGTCCAGCCTGCGAACAGGGACGGGGCTTCAGGAAAATGCCCAGAAGCGCAGGGGAAGATCGGGGGGCTGCGAAAGCAAACGGAGCTTAAAACAGGACAGCTTTGTTTACTCGCCCAAAACAAGATCGCAGGGCCGGCTTTTAAATCCCGACTGGAAGCGAACTCGCTCGCGATAAAACGCTGGGAAAATCAGCCTCAGATCCGCGTAGAAGGCGTTTGAGCGGGAGCTTTTTGGCGATTAACATTTCGGGCCGATGTCACCGCTGAAGGCGCTGCGAGGCGCGGGAAGGCGGAGCCGCGGCTCGCCCATAAATGCGAGGCTCGGCGTTCAGGGCGATCCGCGGGCGGCGAGCGGCGCTGGCAGCGGAGCATCCCCGAGCAGCGCGGCC